ATAGGAAGCGCCACTCACGTTTCGTAGCACACCACTCACGTTTCGTGGCCCTATAGGGAGCGCCACCCAAGGTCCCAGTAGCGCCGTCCGCATGACGGCGCCGCCCCACGTTGGCGCACCCCTTCGCACATTTGATGCCCTGTTTGGGCACTCTCGGGACCGCGTTGGGCCCCTCGGACTCGGGGATCCCGCTGGAGGCTTCCTCGGGTCCTTACAAACCAAGCCCATAATCAACATTACGAGGAATTGTAGAACGGAAATCAGATATGGTAGAGGAGGGAGAAAAGGAGGATACCGGATTCTCAGCAGGCGGGCGAGCACCACGTGGATGAGGATGATCAGCAGGAGGAGGAGCACACTGTATAGGAGGATGATGTTGATGATGCCAGTGATTGATGGTTGACGTTATGGGACATGATGGTGGTAACATGGAATTTCAAATGATGGCTGTGATGTGCAGTAATGAATGTGGCAATGATAATCGAAATCGTGCATGCTGCAAAGGCGATTGATATGATGATGTTGCTGCTGATGATGATGATGATGATGATGATACGCTGACGAATACGATTGTGAACCTGATACTGGTGAGCACGATACTTGCATAGCGAAGCGCTACAATGATGAAGAGCACCGCCAATCAAAATCGTCAGCATTCCCCACCGACCCACCACCATCACTCACCATCGTCATCGTCGCCGCCGTCATCATCAGCATCATCAACATCATCATGGCCGTCGCCATCACCTTCATCAGCATCATCATCATCATCATCATCATCATCAACATCATCATCATCATCATCGTCATCGCCATTATCGCCGTTATCGTCACCATCATCGACGGCCATTTTGGCACACCCTTTCACACGTGCCGTGGCCCCATAGGAAGCCCCACCGAAGGCACCAGTGGCGCCGTCCGCACGGCGGCGCCGCCCTACTTTGGCACACCCCTCACACGCTTCGCGGCCCCAAAGGGAGCTCCACCTACGGCCCCAGCGGCGCCGTCCGCATGTTTGCGGACGGCGCAGTCCGCAGTGGCCCCTACGCCCCCAGCGGCGCCGTCCGCCGAGACCCTACCAGTGCGATCACATGCCAGTGTACCAACACGAGCTCGATATACCGCTCACGACCTCCACGCCCAAACGAACGCGAATCCAGCCCTCCTTAACCAACCGCGCATATCAAACCGCGTGCTCATTGTTATGCAACGGTGGTCTGGGATGATTGGCTGCCCCATCCATCTCCTCCGCCTCGTCCACCCACCCTCCTCTATATGTGGTGAAGGTTTGCGGTTCAGGGTTCAGACGCCAAGTCTTGTGACACAGGGGCCCAGGCTTCTGGCTTAAGAACTCCACCAGGCTATGAGTCCATGACTGGGCAGCATGGTTGTGCTTGGGGTATACTGTCTAAGTTGTGCCAGTTTTTTTTTGGGGTGGTGGTGGTGGTCTGCGTTGTCGTGGTATTTGATGGGTGCCGCATGTTGTGTAGCATGGTTGCAAGCACTGTTTGGGGCAGCGCGATGAGATTACACATGTGGCATATGGGGCATACCTAAGCCTAATTTCACGTGCGGTACCTTGCAAAACGACACTGCGATACCCTGATGTACCCTGCAAAGCAACCATACAACCCATTGCAACTCACTTAAGCAACCCTGCAATGCCCTGCGCAACGACACCCTGCAAGTACATTCTCCCTGAGGGGGTTCCTTCGGGGTCCTCGCTGTGCTTCGAGATGGCCCCTAGGGTGCTTAAAGAGGCGTCCTGAAAACTCCCGAGACGTTGCACGTCGGAGACCCAACACAGCGAACTAGAATGCACACGGTCATCACTGAACTTTGCACGTGCACCACTACAACGACATTATTGTGCCTGGTGTGAGTGTGGTAGTGATCGTGTTGGCGATGGCTCAGGTGGTGATGGTGGCAGTACTGATCTTACGATGGCGCCCGCGATGATACCGATGTTGACGCAGATGATGGTGACGCTGGTGTGTCTGCCGATGCCGATGATCATGGCGATGGTTGTGATGGTGGGGGTGGTGGTGGCTAGTTAGTAAGGCGGGTTGTGCATTGAAGCCGCGGCCGAATTGAAGTCGCAGCCGTAGGTTAATAGTTTAGAATCTGCATGCGCAGTGCTGCTAGTAATAGTTTAGTAAGTAGTCAGTAGCTTAGCTGAGTGCAGTGGGTACTTTATGTAAGTAGTTTCGGAATCTAGTGTAGTTTGGTTAATGGTCCAGTTCGTGGGTTAGTCGTTTACACCTACAAGCACACGTACGCAGCAAACGTTTGCAGCGATTGGCAAGCAAACGTTTGACGCGCATGTGTGTTCGAAGCGCGATTTACACACGATCGAGGGGCGCAAGAATCGGTCGTGAAATACCGGGATTGGAAGACGCTCGCGTCGTCGGTTTTCGGGAGCGAACATGCCGAAGAATCGGTCGCGAAATACCGAGATCCCGAATCTGAATCCCAGCATCGGCATCACGCGCACTTCGTCTTGCAATACCGGGATTGGACCACTCGTTTTGATTTTCGGTCGCTCCCCATCATGCAAACTCGCTACCGACAATTTTCGGTAGCGCATCATCTGGGTTCGGAAGCGCGCTAAAGAGACCAGTCTGGGGAGGCAACGGGGGCCGCGCTGTCTTCGACGACGTCGTTGACCTGCTGCCGCGCCCATGCTCTGTCTCGCAGTGCCTCGTCTCACCAAGTCACCTGCGCTGGAAGACGGCCAGGCTGAGGACCGAGCGCGAGAACTGGGCCCACCCCTCTCCAACTCACTCGTTGGACCTGCCCAGAAAGAACCCTGTCGTCGCCGCCGGAAATATCTCTGAGCGGGCCCCCCCCCCGCGCGCGCGCGATGTCTTGTTCCTTGCATCTTCGTCCTGATATGTTCTCGCGTGTTCCAAAGTGTAGTTGGACCTGCGCGCGTCCTCCGACAGCGGCAGGCACTGGGACGCAGATCCGACTATATCGACCCTTGAAAAAGCCGGGCGCCTGCTGCAATCTGCGAGAAGCGATGCCCTGGAACCCCTTGCATAGGACCAAGGAGTATGAGGCTCTCGATGTAGCCCCCAAACGTCCAGATGGTCTACATCACGGAGCCACGGGAACAACGAGCCGCGACATTCAACCACGCTTGACCGATGCCACCGCAGCACACGAATAATGGACGCGTTAATCTCCCTCTTGGAAAACCCGTCAGTATTTTTGAGCGGCATGCGGATTGCTTCGCCAGAGCATGCTTGTGCCGTATGTTAGCCGCGGACTTTGATGCGGATGTCCACCGCGCTGGAAAGTTTATGCGTACGTTTCTCCAACCACTCAATGCCACTACGAAGAGCTGCTGGGGATGCAGAAAAGGGGGTTGTTTGGGGTGCGCCATCAACGGCGAGTTGGAGAGCGGCCGCGGACTTCTGCAATGGGCCGATTGCGGACTTGACCAATGCGCGCCTGGAAGCCTCGAGCTCCTGAGTGGGAATCTCGAGGTTGCACATGCGCAGCACTCGAACAAAACATTGCGGATGTGTTGCCCTCAATACTTTTGATCATCACCATCACCATCAGCATCACCAAGGACGCCGTCCTCGCCCGCTGCCGCTCCACAAGCGCCAACACTGAGCCTCAGCATTCATGTCCTTCCGTCTCGCCGCTATGGCATGGACGGCCCCCGAACCGTTCCACGATATGAAAAGGGCAGCCAGGATGCCCTTGGAGTGCGGGCGAAAGGCATCCGGCTGAACAGTCTTGGCACAGCCGCGGGCCAGCGGCATCCACTTGCTGTCGAAACAGTCGTCGGTCTTGAACCACAATGGCTACGGAAGGCGGAGGAGGAGGAAGAGGATCAAGGGGGATCGAAGGAGGATCGAATGGGAGGTAGGAGGAAGGAGGAGGAACAAAAAGGAGGATCAAGGAGGATCGAAGAGGGGGAGGGGGGGGGGAGAAAAATGACAGGGGCGCGGGACGGGGCGCGGGGGAGAAGGCCCGAAAAGGGCCTGGAAAAGAAGGAGTGGATGCGAGGCTGGAAGTACAATGCGCCACGTAGCAATACAGGAAAGGGTGGGGGGGGGGCGGGGGAGGGGACGATGGAGGAAGTGTGCAGCGAAGTTGCTGCCATGAGCGGGGAACGCCAAATGAGGAACGAAGACCCCTTTGCCCCTTTGCTGGCCCCGCGCGCGCTCGGGGGACTCACGAGGAGCGCTGGAGGAGCAAAAATGGGAACGGCCGAAGGTTTGGTCGGGCATATCCTCCCACAGTCGGATTTTGGATGAAAAATGAAAGATACTCATAACTATTCAAAAACAATCGAAAATACTTTCAAAAAATCGTCCCCGAACTATTGATTGAATAATTTTGAACATTCCGCCTGTGGACGGACAGGCCCGACTTAAGCCTAAGGCGCAGCGGGCGCCTTCCGAAACCGAGCTGTTCCTGAAAGCCAGCACAAACGACGAGGAGTCTCGCTATCGGCAGTATACCTGGGGCACATCCTTCGTCGATCTTAAAGGCTCCAAGGTGCCCCAAAGCTTCTGTGGATCCCTGAGGCCAACGGGCGCCATCGGGGGCCAAGGAACCTCCGGGGGGCACCTGCTTGCGAGCTGTCTTCTCAGTTGATGCGCGTGCAGTGCTTCAGCGTCTTGGCTCCCGGGCTTGGGCGGTGAGTGGAGGACAGAGACGTGCTGGGCTGTGGCCCCTTGGAGGCGGCCGGGGGGTCTGGCCCAGAGAAAATCAATCGAGGAGGGGAGATAAGGGCAGATCCGATCAAAATCGATCCCCGGACCCCTACACGGGTCTACCTGGGGCAAGGTTTCACCCTGGATCCGTTTTGGACGGTCCCGTGGCGTGTAATTGGCCCCAGGAGGCCGAACAAGGCAAAAGCAGACTTCCCGAACCCCGCGCTCAAAACCTCTTCCCCTCCTTCCTGGTCGCTGGAAACAGTGCTGGGCCGCCTCGGACCCCCAGCTGGCTCCAAAACGGGCCCCTCCCCCCCTGGCGGCCTGGAGCACCGCGAGCCTGTATAGCGGCCGCGTGCTCGCCGACGTCATCCTGGAGCGCCGCGGGCGGGCCGGAGCTGCGGCAGGAGGCGCAGGCGGACAACGGCGAGGAGGGCGAGGAGGCTACGGTCGGGAGCTTTTGCTTGGCGTGTCGCCGCGGCGGCTCCGGCGACACGCTGTCCCCGGATAGCGTGTCGCTCCGCTCCGCCAGGCGGGCGGCTCGGAAAAAGCTCGCCATGTTGACGCCTGGGGGCCCGGATGTGGATAGCGTGTCGCGCCAAGACTTGGTGGGTCCCCTGGAGGCCCTTCCCGCTTTGCGGGCTCGCTACCTGGTGCCTCCTGCCATTCCTGACGCCAAGATGGAGTCATCAATCGAACATATGGCGCCCGATCCTTTTCGGGGAAGAAGGCGGGATGGCGTAAGACTCTCGAATCTGAGGAGATGAGGTCCCAAGCGACGTTACAGCAGGTCTATGCCTGGGGGATAGACGACCACAAGGCCCCCCTGTCATGGTGAGCTGGCCAAATGTGTCGTCTTCTTTCCAGCTAGCCGCTAGCCACCATCCCACCCTTTCTATTCTGTTGCGTGGAATCTTTCTGCGCCGTCAAGTATGACAGGTGTGTCTGGGTCAACTTCGCCGACCTCGATGGCACGGGGTTCGTTGGATGGCACCTGGCACCTCTTCAAACTCCGCCGGACTCCCAACATGTCCAATACCCCGCCCTCTTCCCTCTTCTTCGACCTTGTCCTTCTTCGTGCCGTCCTCGGTGGGCAGGGTTGGATATCTGGTGCGCCGAAGAGCCAGGAAGAGAGGAGTTGGCACATCATGGTCCGATGCGCGTTTTCGGGCGAGTGGGGGGGGGCAGTGGACGCACTGAAAGAGGAGGGGCAGCAACATCCGGGGGATTGCTTGGCCCAGGCCACGATGTCCACACCTTTCTGGTAGTCACGCTGCTCCCCTCCAGCCCCGCAGACAGAGGAGGCGATGGACTGCAGATGGGGGGGCGGTGCAATGACTGAGGGCTGGGGAGGGGAGAGGGACGGAGGGTGGCCGCTGAGCGGGACGGTTGCAGCGACTGGGCGGGATACCCTGCGCCACCCGCTCGCGCGCATCGCGCCCCGCGGTGCGCGACGCTCGGTTCTCGTCGCGCTCTCGCGAGGCCACCGTGGAGAAGGGCAGCTCTCTGGCCCCGACCCGCGACGCGCGATTCCCTTCGCGCCCCCAGGGGGGGGCACCCAGGATCAGACTGTTATCCTCCTCCTCCTCCTCCTCGAGGACTGCGACCAACGAGCCTGACCACATCAGGGCTGGCGCGGTGAGACGGGATGGGAGAACGGGGATCGACAAGCGCGTTCAGCTACTTGCAAAGTCGCCGCTCGCAAGTGGCCAGCATCTGCCGCAGGGCCTGCACGACAAGTCACATCGAGGCGAACACATGTTTTTTTTTGTCGGACGTTTGCGAGTAGGCTTTTTTTTGACTCGCGGACAGAAGGCGAACGGCGCGGCCGCCGGCGCCCAGGCACGGTGCCGACGTTTGCGAGCAGGCACTTTGCGAGTAGCGTTAAGTCGGGCCTGTCCCCCTACAGGGGGACCTTGGAGGAAAAGTAAAAAGTAGACAAACAATGCCCCCCAAATACTCAACAATAGTCAAAATATCGTCCCCCTGACTATTTTGTTTTACTATTTTTGAATATTCCTCCTTCAGAGGGACACGCCCGACTTAAGAGTAGCGGCGCGCGCCCGGTGAGAGGTGGAGCTGGGAACGGTGGGGCTGAGAATCTGCGGGGGTCGCCAGAGGTGCCAGGCCCAAGGCGTCTCCAACGGTTTGCTCGGCTGCGGAGCCCCTGCAGCCATCCAGGGCCTCGTGAGGGGCAGCCATGGAGGCCGTGGGGGGCTCCCTGGCAACCCCGAGGGGGACACCCTGGGTCCGGGACGCATCGGGTAGCCCTGGACACTGGGAGAGAGGATGACGAGTTCAGGGCCCCCCGTTATCCTTCTCTTCCTTCTTCAGCTCCACCTCCGCCCCCGTCTTCTCCTTCTCCTCCTCCTCCTCCTCCTCCTCCTCCTCCTTCGCAATTCTGCTTGCCCGCAGCTGCCCCGCGCGGCTGTCGCCAAAATTTGTTATCTCACCCCATCCCCTGAACAACTCACGAGGGCTTGCATCGACAATGCCGCCCCTTCGTGACGAGGCATTCGCGGGCACGGCACAACGAGCCTCTCCCAGAAGCTGGAACACTTGCAGGATGCGGGGACGGCCCCTCCCTGATTACCCGGGGACGCGCAAACATGGATTAGCGATCCATGGATTTGGCGCACGGTCGCTTAATCCATGCATCGGGGGAGGTGCCCTCCCCAAAACGCGGCCGGTGGCGCCTCGCTCGGCGTCGGAAATCCGCGAGTTCCCATGGAAACGGGACCCGTCGCTAGTCCACGCCCCCTTCATCCATGCTTGCGATCGCCTGACTGACGACGCCCCCCTCTCGAGACCCCTCCCTCCACCGAAAGCCTGCTCAGGCCTGCGCTCCGAGCTCCTCGACCCCCTTCCTAGGCGACAGCACATGCGCGTCCGTGGCCGCGGCCGCGCTGGCCAGGCCCCCAGGCCGCGACCCCCTCGGACGCGGGGCGCGTCCTCTCGGGTGCCCCGCGCGGAAGAGGAGGAGGAGGAGGAGGAGGAGGAGGAGGAGGAGGAGGAGGAGGAGGAGGAGGAGGAGGAGGAGGAGGGTGAGGAGGAGGAGGGGGAGGAGGAGGGGGAGGAGGAGGAGGAGGAGGGGGAGGAGGGAGGAGGAGGAGGAGGAGGAGGGTGAGGAGGAGGGGGAACAGGAGGAGGAGGGGGAGGAGGAGGAGGAGGAGGAGGAGGAGGAGGAGGAGGAGGAGGAGGAGGAGGAGGAGTCCGGAGCGCCATGGGCGCGAGAGTGCGGCGGCGCTTGCCGCTCGCGGCGGTCCCTCGCTCCGAGAGGCGGTCTCCAGGCTGTGGCAGGGAGGGGAGGGGGCCAGGCAGCTCAGCGATCTACTCCAATTGGTGGGGGTGCGAGGGCTCGCGCCGATCGGCCAAACAATGAATAAGAGAACGATCCCCATCTGTTACCCCTAACCCCTCTCTGTTCCTGCTCTCCCCGCTCCTTCTCCGCGCGCTACCCCTCGATCTCCGAACCCCGGCCTCGTTTGCTGCTCTTCCGTCGCCCCCTCGCGGCTGAGCGCTGGCGGCGCGACGCCTGATGCCGCTCTTCGCCTTCGGGTTGTTGTACTCTCCGCACCGGAAGTCTGCGGCCGCCTGTCAAGGGTGGAGGGAAGACAGGAGGCAGCAACCTTCCCCCACGGGCGCGGACCCCCCTATTGTTCAGCTTCCACTGGGCTCGACGAGGAGATGAGTAGAGCAGACGGACCAGAATGTGAGAGGAGTGACGAGAAGGATGTCCAGGAAAAGACGGGGGAACAGAAGGGAGAGGAGGGGCAAAGGCAGGAGAGGCGTGCACATGTGACCGAGGAGACAAGCCATACACTCAGGCGAGGGCTGCACGTCCACCGATGCACGAAACAGTCGTCCTGAACAACCCGCGTCAAACGCGACCTAACAATACGGGGCGCACTGAAGCACGGGTAACAGTCGGCAGCGCGCCATAGGCAGAAGAAAAAGGGGGCAAGCCTTCTCACAAATCGGCCTCTGCGTCTTCGGAGAATGCCCAGGACTTCTTCTTTGCAGAAGGCCGGAGGCCTTCCGAGCCTTCGGAGAAGGCACGCCCCCTCTGCCTTCCCCTCTGGGCCCGCCGCGGAACCAGACTGAGCTGGCAGCGCGCATCAGGAATCTAACAAGCCAAATGTCATGACGGCCGTGCGAGCACGGCTCCAGAACCGGCGCGCCAGCCGAGCACTGTGCACTATCGCTGACGAGGGCGCCCTGGCCCTGCTGGTGCGGCCAAAAGGCGCAGCGACGAAGGCATCAACGATGGCGATCTTGACTGACCCGTGCCTCCGGGAGACGCCCCACGCATCCCGTGCGAAGCAGAATCGGACGCCCGTGCGGCAGCATGCAGGCAGGCAGCAGCGCGCGCCTCCTTTCCGAGAGGCGTGCGGACCCGGCCTGTGCTCGGCCTGCGGGATGCACTGCAGGCGTAGGCCGTGCGTCCCACGTTGGGTGCGAGAAAGGAACGAAGCCAGCGATCGGAGGAGGAGGAGGAGGAGGAGGGGGAGGGAGGAGGAGGAGAAGGAGGAGGAGGAGGAGCCCTTTCGACCCTTTCGTGTCGCCAGCGTCGTGGCGGCCGCCGCGCGGGCGCGCGCGGCGGCGTGGCGGCGCCCGCCTCAGCTGCGGCACCGCAGCTGCGCTCCGCAGCCCTCCTCCTCTGGCGGCCGCAGCTGTGGCACCGCCGTCCTCCTCTGGCGGCCGCAGCCTGCCTCCTCTGCGGCACCGCCGTCCTCCTCTGGCGGCACCGCAGCTGCGCGGGGCGGCGGGGCGGCCGCAGCACGGGCTTCACGGCCTGAACCACACCCTGGATCAGCGCGAGGTGCAAGCCCCACAAGACCTGCAGGCAGTCCAGCTGCCGCTTCGCCGCGTGCCTCGCACTGCACCGCCGTCAGGCCACCGCCGCCAGCTGGCTGGATCCTCTCGCCTCCGCCTCGCGTGTCCGACTGACGCGAGGCACGCGCAGGTCCCCTCTCCCGCTGCTCGCCACCCTCCAGCAGGCGCCTCAGCTCTGCGAGAGGCAGAGGGGCCTCTCGCGCGGCTCTCCTTTGCCGAGGCCTCTCGCCTCGCTGCACAGCTGCCTTCTCCCTCTCGACCTCCAGCATGGCCCTCGCCCTCGCTGCCTCTGCCTCGGCGACGTCGAGGTCCTCCGCCTGCGTGGCGTACTGCACGGTGTCGTGCTGGGGCTGCACGCTGGTGTTGGCCAGCCTCGCTGCGGTCTGCAGTAGACGCTGCGCCTCCTGCTGCTGCTCCTCATCGGTGCGTGCCCTCCTCACCTGCTCGTCCGATCGTGCCAACGCTGGACCCGCGGGCAGCTCGGGGAACGCCGCTGGCGGCTCGAGGAGCACCGCCTCTGGATTTGCGTTCTGACCCTGAGCGAAGCCCTGGCCATGGGACGGGCTGCAGTGGCGACGAGCACCAGCGGCCGGCTCGAGGAGCACCGACATGGATTTAGCGCTCTGACACCTCAGCTCGCCGTCCGCGCAGATCACGACTGGTGGCTGCGTCTCTGGCGGCGGTGAGCCCGCTGACGGCTCGAGGAGCACCGCCGCTGGACTTGCGATCTGACCCCTCAGCTCGCCGTCCGCGTAGGTCTCGTGTGGTGTTGCCCGCTGTCCTGCTCCGCCCTCCTTGGCGGCCTGCCTCAGCCAGCCCTCGAGCCTGTAGTGTCCACTGCTGCAGGCTGTGTGACCGCAGCAGGGCTCCTGCAGCTTCGCGGCGATCAGCTCCGTCGTCGCTCCTCCGCACCGCTCGCAGAACCAGCGGTCTTGGTCGAGCAACCTCCTCAGCAGGTGTGACGGGTGCGACTCCACTCCGTACCTCGTGATGGTGATGGCTCTCAGCGGAGGTGGCCCCCCGCACGGCTTCTCCATCCAGTCGCGGATGGTCGCTGTCGCCGTGCTGCAGCTGACCGCCTCCCTGCAATGCTGACACCTCCATCCTGTGCCTCGCTTGTCACGCTCCAGGATGCGCGACGTCGGTGGTCTCCTGGTCGCCTCGCCGCCGAGCAGGTCGCGCTTCAAGAGGCGGTCCTGACGCCTCTGCTGCGCGAGCCTCTTTCTTGCCGTTCTCATTTCCTTGTCGTCGGGCGGCCTTCTGGCGAGCACTGCAGCGGTGGTGGCCGCGATGCGCTCTCTCACCAAATGGGCCGTGGCGCGCACCCACTCGTAGCAGCTCATCTCCGAGTCGCTGATCGCGTGCGTCGCAGCTCCTGCCTCTGCGTACTCGTCAGCTGCCTTGTTGCCCGCCCAGACTCGCCTCGGCACGCCCTTCGCCATCGCCTCGTGTTCCGTCATGTGGCTGTTCAGGTGCTTCATGGTGATGTCGCTCCTGTCTCCTCCTCGCTCTCTAATCGCCTCACCGACCTGGAACCACAGGTCGCCGTTGCTGAGCCCTTGGCCCTGGGTCTTCTCCCTTTGCGCAGCCCAGCCCGTGCACGTGACCTCGCTGTCCGTCCAGAAGGTGACTCTGCCCTCGGTCGCGCGCAGGAAGCTCAGGAAGCTGTAGAGCTCGGCGCGGTTGTTGGACTGCCGAGCTCCTGGGAGAGGCCCAAAGTGTGCGCCGATCTGCTCGAACTCGTCGCCGTCGCCCAGCAGCACCCAGCCCCAGCCGCACCTGCAGTATCTCTCGTCCGCGCTGTACTCGCCTCCTGAGCCGTCCCCGCATGCCGTGAGCTCTCGCCCCTCGTCAGCGCGGAGGCGGCGCTCGGAGTTGCAGGCGCCGACGAGGTGCTCTGCGGGTAGGGTGTCGCATCTCGGCGGCACGGTCCAGCTCTTGGGGGTGATGCCCCGAAGCCAGAACGCGGGGTTGGTCTCGCAACCCTCGAGCGCCCTCCTGGTAAGGCCGCTGCTGCGCCTCACTGCCTCGCTGTCCTCCCTAGCTGTGCAGGCGCCCCAGATGCGGTGCACGTCATCCTCGGCCTCTCCGCACTCGCATCTCGCCTCGGCGCCGCCGAAGGTGTCGTGCTTGCGGCGATGCGTCCAGGTGCCTGCGCAAGCCGCGGTTAGGAGCGCGCCGTAGTAGCCGTAGCGCTCCTTCTTGGCCAGCATCCTGAGGTGGTGCTTCAGGTCCTTGACGTCCGCTCCTCTCTCCAGGCCAGCGCCGTTGTGGTGCTGCGCGGCCTGCTCCCACAGCTGATCCTGCAGGTCGTCGAGGAACGCCTCAACAATCTCGGTGTAGTCGCCTCCCTGCTCCTCCGTGCCGAACTTCCAGTAGTCGCCGTTCCTGTCGATCCAGGTGTCGGGCCCTCTGGAGTCCCAGCCGACTTCCCAGAGCAGGAGTATCATGCTGGCCAGCGGGCCACGTCGAGCTTGCCACCTCTTGTTGGCTTCCAGTCTCTGCATTCTGAAGTAGATCCTCGGCCAGGCGCGCCTCACCTGGTTGCGGATCTCGGGGTGGCGGGCCCAGACCTCGAACCACGTCTTCAGCTGCGTCCTCACCGCGGTGGCTGCGGGGTCCGTGCCCTCCAGCGCCAGGAAGGTGGTGAGGCAGCGTCCTGGCCACGGCCTCCTCAATGCCTGAGCGTACCTCCTCCTCGCCTTCTGCCTCGCCCATGGCGCCATGCCGTGCACGGATGCGCCGTGCATGTAGGACGCCACGGGTCCCTGGTGGAGAACTCCCCGCCTCTTGGCCAGCACCAGCTTTCTCAGCTTGGTGCCGACGGCTCCGCATCTCCTGAAGGCGCCGCTGGTGCGCTTCCTGTGGGTGGCGCGCCGCAGCGTGCCTCTGGCTCCTCTGTCGATGCCCAGGTCCCTGCCCTCAGTGACTGCCTGAACCTGGAGCCCCTTCTGGCGCAGAGCCCTCTGCACCGCGCGCGTCGTCCTGTAGCTGGTTGCGAAGATCACCGTCTTGTCCGCCAGCGTAAGACCCTGTGCCTCAAGCTCGTCCCTCAGCGCCATGGTGGTGTCCGTCAGCTCCTGCTCGACTGCCTTCGCGCTGCCCACGATGCGCACGCTGATGTCATCAAACCAGGCCCTCGGCATCGGCTTGGGCAGCGCGCGCGACCTCTCGAGCAAGTTGGCCAAGATGACGTACACGACAGACTTGGCTAAACTGTTGCTGTGCCTCGATCCTGCGAGCAGCGAGCGGTCGGCCCACAGTGGCAGGGAGTAGGCGCCCTTCCAGCGTATGATCCTCGTCGCCGAGTGCTGCAGGAGCATCATCGCCAGCGGGCGCGGCCTGAAGTGCATGCGCAGGCCGGCCTCGATGACGCAGTCGAGCTGGAGACTGTCGTAGAACTTCTCGATGTCCGCCAGCAGGTTGCCGTGAAAAACCTCGAGCGCCTCGCAGCACTCGTCCCCGATGACCCTGGTCATCGCTTCTCTCAGGCAGCTGTTGCCTTCCACTGCTGCGTCCCAGCCTCTCTGGTGTGTCCTTGCCCAGCGCCGCACTTCAGGTCTGTGAAGCAGCTCCCAGCACCTGACCATCTGCGGCAGCAGCGCGAGGGCGCGGTCGCCCTTGGCGGGCTTCGGCGTGAGCATCACTATCTCGCATAGCAGCTGCCATGGCCACGCGAGTTGCCGCTCGCACTCGTTGAAGAGCTCCACGATCCTCATGCGGCCCTCGGGTGGGAGCCTCCTGATGTCCGAGCATGTGAGCACGTCCACGCCCTTGCCTCGGTCAGGTTCGCCCCGCAGCGCGCTGTCCAAGTCCTCAAGGGTCCACACGCTCTCGTCGGTGCCTCGTGCGGAGCTCCTGAGGGTCTGCAGGATGGACGCGTGCTGCTCGTGCGGCAGCCTCGTGCATCTCCAGATCCTTTGGAATTCCCGAGCCTTCTCGTCCACGATGGCGGTCGGGCAGTCCGTGACGCCGCCGTCGGTGATCAGCTCCTCCTCCCTCCTGGGCGGCGGCTTGGTGATGCGGTGGAGCGTGCCAACGCTCTTCTCCGCTGAGGCCAGCCACAGCCCGAACGCCCTGGAGTTCTCCCTCATGTCCCTCTTGATCGCGTATCTCTTCTCCTCCTCTGCCTGTGCTGCCATGCCCTCGATCACCTCGGTGTTGACCTGGTTCAGGTCCATCAGCCTCGTGTGCCACAGCTTGCGGTGCAGCTTGGCCGTCTCTGACGCGGACGCGCTGGTCTGCGGCATGCCGTCGTAGGCGAGGTGCCTGCCAGCCGCTGCCAAATGCTGCTGCTGCGCCTGCGCCTTGTTCCTCTTGCGGAGCCTGGCGAGGAGCGAGAGCGTGCTCTCCGCCCTGCTCCACCAGTCCGCTGTGTGGTTTGCATATCTCGTTCTCCTCTCGTGCCTCTCCTTGCCCTTGCATACGACAAACTGCCTGGGGTCACCTCGCCCGCAAAACTTGGCACGGTCCTGCGGCGCGATGCGGTACGCCATGCAGTAGAACTGCTCCAGTGTGTCCATGACCGCCGAGTATCTCTTGCCCAGCGCTGTGGCCTCCTCCTCAGTCGCCTCGAAGGCTGCGCTCTGTGAGATGTAGGTGGGGATCTGCTGCTGGGCCTTCGGCTCTGCCGCCATCTCCGCCATGGTCCAGAGGTCGCCCATCTCCGTCGTGTCCTGCGCCCTGGGCTGGTCGGCGTCCTGGCCCAAGCACTCGGCACGTGGCGACGTTGAACCCGCGGGCGGCTCGAGGAGCACCGCCGCGGGATTTGCGTTCAGACGCCCCGTCGGATCCTGGCCGCGAACATGAGCGGGTCGTGGCGACGGTGAACCAGCTGGCGGCTCGAGGAGCACCGCCGCTGGATTTGCGCTCTGACACTGGGCGAAACTCTGACAATTGGTCGAGCTGCCGTGGCGACGTGAACCAGCGGTCGGCTCGAGGAGCACCGACGTGGATTTCGCGTTCTGACACCTCAGCTCGCCGTCCGCGTAGAACTCAGCTGGTGGCTGCGTCCATGGCGACGATGGACCAGCTGACGGCTCGAGGAGCACCGCCGCTGGATTTGCGTACTGACGCCTCGCCTCGCCGTCCGCGAAGGTCTCGTCTGGTGGCTGCGACCATGGCGAGCCAACGCCGTCATCCTCCATGCACTCAAGCTCGGCGAAGACGTCGATCTCCTCTTGGTCCATCCGGTGTCCGTGCTGCTCGGTGTCGTCAGCGCACGGGTAGTGAGTCCAGCCCGCGACGGGTGTGAGCGCCTCCCACCTCGCGTCGTCGAGCTGCTCCTCTCTCTGCCTGCTCCTCCCAGGTGCGTCCTCAGGTGTGCCTCCTGGCGCGGTGGACTGGGGCGGTGGCCGCGGCGCGGCGCCCGCTGCTGCCTCAGCCTGCGCGCGCGCCTGCAGCCTCCTCCTCGACCTCTTGCTGGTGGGACTGGGGCCCTTGCCTCGCCTCGGCGGGTGCGCAAAGGCCAAGGGTAGGCCTAGCGTCCTGCACTGCGTGGGGACCCCTTGTCCCCGAATGGTGAACTTCAGGCCAATGTGCGGCTTCCACGGGACGTCGTAGACTCCCTCGACGCCTGAGACTAGCCTGCTGCCCGCCTCGTTGACCAGCGCGAAGTCGATGTGCGACGGCTCCTGTCCCGCGAGGAAGCAGGTGTGCTGGTCCTCTGGGAGCGAGAGGACTGCGGCCGCGCCCATCACCTCTGGCCACCCCGTGTTCCAAAAGGTCGAGGGGTCGGAGTTGAAGCCGCCGCACACAATCCACGCTCCCTGAATGGTTCGGAGGAACGCCCCGAGCGCGGTGAGCTTGCGGCTGTTGATGCCCTCGGCCAGTGATCTGTTGCAATCCAAGTAAAAGCTGACAACCGTGAGAGTGGAGCCCTTCAGATGCCACTGAGTGGGTGTCCAGTCACACATATCCCAGCCACGTTCTCGGCCAACGTCTCGTCGAATGTCCGCTGTGGCATTCGAGACCTGTCGAGCCTGGGCCAGGTGTCTGAAGCTGGTGACTCGGAGATGGCCCTTGGAGATCACCGCTGTGCCTCCTTGTGTGCCAGCCGCCGAGCGTGAACTGTCTCTTGCCGCCGTGAATGTGGCCTTGTAACCCATCTTCACAAGGTCATTCTCCACGTCGTCTAGCTGCGCATGTGGTACATGCGTCTCCTGTAGCGCTATCATGTCATAGCCTCTCCCCTCGATGCCCTGTCGCATCAGCCACAGCCTGGCTGTGGGCCCCCATGTGCTGGTGTTGGCGCAGAACAGCGTGCGCTCCTGGGCGGCGGCGTCGCCAACATTCCTCCGCCGTCGCCCTCGCGCGGGCTCCTAGCCGCGGGGCGCTGGCGGACCCTGGCCGCCTTCGCCCTGGGCTGGAGCTCCTGCTGCTGCCTCCGCGCGCTTGCGCTCGAGGTAGGCGGCCGCCTCGTCCTGAGCGGGGGCCTGCTCAGCGGGGCGTGGCGCCGCCACTCCTGCGGTGCCTGCGCTGCCCGCTGCGGCCGCCGCTGCGGCGGGGGCTGCTGCTGCGCCGCCTTGGGTCTCCGCTCCTACTGCCGTCAGCTTCCTCTTCTTGGCCTCCTGTGCGATGGTGCGCCGCTGCTCCAGCGCCGCCGCCTTCGCCTTCGCGATGTGGTCGCGCAGGTGCCCTTGGAACTGACGAGCGTTGTCCTGCATCTGTTTGATCACTTGCCTCTTAGCCTCCTCCACCTGTCGGAGTCCTTCTTCGTCCAGATCGTCTTCGCCGAGATCGAACTCCTTGCCGATGTCCTCCGCCAGCTGGCCCTCTGCCAGCTGGTCGATGTTGCCCGTGACCAGCTGCTCCAGGATACCCGCCTTCTGGCCCTGCTTGCCCTCCAGATGGATGGCCTCGCATGCTGCCTCTGCCTGCAAGACCGCCGCCGCGCGCTCCTCCAGGGCCTCGCGCGCCCGCTGGGCCGCCTCCTCGGCCTTCTGCTTCGCAGCGAAGGCGTCCTGGTACTGCTGCTGCGCCTGCTGCAGTGCTCTCGCCGCTGCCGCCATGCGCACCGCCCTCGGCTTTGGCTGCTCCACTGGCTTGGCGGCCTGCAGGGCTGTCGCGGCTCCCTTCAGCTGCTGAGTGATCTGCTCACCGCCCTTCAACTGCATGCTGGAGAGGGTGGTCGTGATGAGCGACAGCGCTTTCGCCAGCTGCTCTGGTCCCTGGCTCGTGCCGTGTCCTTTGCTGCTGCTGCTGCTGCTGCCTGCTGCTCTGCGCCCTCCAGCTGCGGCCTCTCGGCGCTCCGCCCCGCCGGCCCTCTCTGCCGTCTCCTGTGGCTTCTTGGGACCTTTGGGCCGCGGCAGCGCCGACTTGCATGTGGCGCAGCGGAACTGGAGCCCTTCCAGGCGAGAGGTCCACCACCACTCCCCGCAGCTCTTGCAGACCACGTAATCCTGGCGGCCCATGGCTGGTGGGCAGCTGCCGTGGTGTGACCTCAGGGCCTCCTGGAAGCGGCGGGCGCGGAGCGCCAGCCGAGCGTCTGCGCGCTCTCTGCGCGCTCGCCTGTGCCAGGCAGGAGAGCGCTCTCGCCTCGTCCTCCTCCTGGCCTCCTCGCGCCCCTGCGGCGCTGGGGGCTCTGCTATCGCGCGGGCCTGGCCGCGCGCGCCGCCGCGGGCAAGACGGCTGCGCGGGCGCCTCGCTGCGGAGCCACCTGGAGGAGGAGGAGGAGGAGGAGGAGGAGGAGGAGGAGGAAGTGGAGGAGGAGGACGACGACGAGGAGGAAGATGAGGAAGATGGAAGAGGGAAGGAGCGCTGGGGGCATGGGGGGCAGCAATTCGACCGTACTCGAGGAAACAAAACGGCATAAGCACAAACTCGCGACGGCTCGCGCGGATCTCTTGGACCTGCGCTGGGCCCCCACGCGCGCGGAGCGCGCCTGGGGGCGGCGGCGGAGGCGCCACCGGGGGGACCACAGCGCGGAGCCAAGAAATCCGCGCGGAGCGCCAGAAGCTTATGCTGCAGTCCGGCCTGTCCTCCTGCAGAGGGATTTTGGACGAAAGACCAAGAGATACCCCAACAAATACTCCAAAGTGGTTCAAAAGTGCTCCCAGAAATCACCCCCAGACTATGTTTTGGCTATTTTTGAATTTTCTTCCTGTAGAGGGACGTGCCCGACTTAAGTCCATGCTTATGGCGCGTTTTTGTTCGTCTCCGATGGGGGGCCAGCAATTCGGCCGTGCGACGGGCCTCCGGGGCGCACGGCACCTGCCGCGTGGCCCAGGCATGCACGGCCAGGGAGTTGGAGAGAAGCATTGTGGATGCCATGACAGTGGACACGTCGTTCACTTCTAATCGTGCTCATTTCTAATTCTGCTCGTTTCTAGCTGTTCCTGGCCCCCTAGTGGCCAGGAAGAGGCCCAGGATAGAACAATTAGAAATGAAACTCAAGAACTCTCGAAGAATTAGACATGAACAGTGTGGACATGCTTCCTCTTCATGGATCGTCGTCCACGTGCACGGCAAGGAAGACAACGAGAAGCAGGAGGGAGTGTCCAAGCGGCGGGGCTCCGCAGGCCCACGCGAGGCCTCGGAGCAGCAGTTCACGCCCACGGCCCAGAAGTCCATGCCGCAGCTCGCCTGCCGGGCCGGCACCGCGGCAGGAAGCCGCTGCCACTCTTAGGTCGGGCGTGTCCCCCTACATACGGATTTCGGGCGAAAAATAGAAAATAGCCCAAGAATGCAAAACAAATGTTCAAACAGTGTCAAAACATCGTCCCAAAACTATGTTTGGAATATGTTTGAATATTCCTCCTGTAGCGGGACATGCCCGACTTAATGCCACTCCGCAAAAACTCTCCTCGGAAAAGGTGCCCCCTTCGCTGCCTTTTCTCTCTTTCCGCTTTTAGGGGACCTCCTCGGAGGCCTTTGTCGCCGCCGCCGGGCTCGCCTCGACAAGCCTGGGCAGAACGCACCCCGGGAGAGGTCCGGGGAGTAGCGGTATGGGTACCGTTTGCTTACCCCTCCCCCTGGCGCGGCACCCGGGTGCCACGCAGGGCTCCGAGGCAGGTGGCGCAATGGCCCCGCAGGAACGACGAGCAAAACGCAAACGAGTCTACGTACACAAGGGGGCGTTTCAGAGGCACGAATACTTTACTTGTCTGTTGGTTGGCTTATCACTGGATCCATGTGACTGGATGGGTACTAGCTGACGGATGTCTTGGGATGGCACCGACCATCGAACGTATTGTACTGACCTACCTTTTCTCTCTTTTCACAGTTTCACAGCGACGTGTCCAAAGTGAAGTGCCCCAGAGCAGCACACGCAACCAGTGCTTCAAACACCGCGCGCTCGCCCTACTCCTCCCCTCGCGACCCCTGCCCACTTGCCGCCCACTGGCCACACCAGCTCCAAGGTCGTGGCGCCTGCTGTGATGGGCCGATTTTCCACCACCACTGCCATAGGAGGAGGAGGAGGAGGAGGAGGAGGAGGAGGAGGAGGAGGAGGAGGAGGAGGAGGGAGGAGGAGGAGGAGGAGGAGGAGGAGGAGGAGGAGGAGGAGAGGAGTAGGAGGAGGAGAAGGAGGAAGAGGAGGAGGAAGAGGAGAATGAGGAGGAGGCGGAGGAACTCCCCATCCTCCCTTCATCCCGGTCCTGCCTGCGGCAGCGGTGGCGGAACATTGGCCCATCATGCTGAGGCAGCGCGTGGCACCCCACACTTGCAGACCTTAGCTGCCCCAATACGCAGAGCGCAACACGTAGCGTGCCGACACGGAGCTCAACGCGCAGACCGAAAACGTAGGTATGAGACGCGGTGCGTTCGCCAAGACGTGGGCCAATACGCTGCGCCAACACGCAGCGTATTGCGCCAACACGGCAGTCGTGAGCACGGCACGCGCTGCGCATCCGAACGGGCGTGTCCGGGCAGCTCAGCTGCAGACCGGGGCGCGCCGGGGCGCGCGCCGGCCGGAATCCCAAGGAGAAGCCAGCCGCGTCGACGACGGGGCGAAGCAGGAGACCTCGGGAGTCGTCCCTGCGAGCTGCGAGGTCCAGGGCACTTCCAGTGTCGGGGAGAAGCCAGGAGTCGCCCCCACGAGTCGCCACCCCAGGAGTCGCCCCCGAGGGTCACCCCCCCGCGCGTCGCCCCGACGAGTCGCCCCCACGAGTGTCGCCCCCGACCGTCGCCCACGAGCGCCGCCTCCGAGCGCCGCCCCCCCCAGGCGGCGCACCCTTCCCCCCCCCCCCCCCCCCCGCCCCCTTCCCCGCCCCGCCCCCGCCCCCCGGTGTCGCCCGCGGAGACAGAAACCTCATCCAGCCACGCGCGCGCAGCGAGCGAGGTGCGACGGTGACAGGGTCTTGGCCGCTCCGTGCTCCGTGCTCCGTGGCGGCGCATCAATGCCTTGTGCTGCTCTCTTCTGCCCCCCCCTTGCTGATGCAGCGGCGGCGTCTCGCATTGCACCCAGGACTGATGATCGGAGCAACGCAGTAGAGGTCCCCCATCTTGAAGCTCATGCTCCTTCGAGGGGGGGGGAGGCGGGCGATGTGGAGAGGAGCAATGGAGGAGCATTGGCGCTGGCTCCGGGGGTGGACAGGCTGACCCAGGCTCACACTGTGGTGAGTATGGATCACTGCGCCAGACGCAACTAGAGCCGTCTGCCAGACCGATCGCGCAGCAAATTGCAGCCCCATGCCCGGCGAACTCGTCACACTGCGTAGATGTGTCATAGGTGGACCGAGCGATCACGATGGATGCGAACCAACATCAGAGGTCAAGATGTTGGGACTGTACGCACGCGCACACGACTAACGCGTGCTCAACGCGCCCTGCAAATGAACGAAACCAAACAAAACATCGCCGCCCTCCTTCGTCTCTTCGTCCTGGTCCTCCTTCTCATGGACGGAGATGAGGAGGAGGAGGAGGAGGAGGAGGAGGAGGAGGAGGAGGAATAATATTCAGTGTGAAACGCAGGGCAGGAGGTTGGCCGCTGGCCGCGTGCAGGCGTGCATCGGCCAGGTCACCGCCTCACCCAGCGAGGCCACTGCCGGGGCATCCACGCCGATCTACCTGCCAGGCGGCACTGGGCACAGCCTCAGCCAATTGTTCGCAGTCCCAGGCGCCACGAGCCTCGTCCCGGAAGGGCGATCTCTGAAACGCATCGGCGTGCCGACGCTCTCCTGGAACAGCGACCTCGGACGCCCCGCGAGGAGGACCATTGGCAGCACGCGGTCGTAGCCGCTCCACCCCTCGGAGGCGGACAGGAGACCAGCCGCGGAGCGCCCAGGAGCTGTGCCCGAAGTGCCAATCCAAATCCGCACACGGGGCGCGCGGCCGCAAAGCTGCATCAGCAGCGGCACGGGAGGCCGCCCGGGTCATGGCAGCACGGGTGGATACGATCAAAGTCTGCGCGACCTCGTACGTACGTGACACTCGCTCGCCCAAATCCGAACCTCTGGTAGCCCGCATACGTACACGAGCCCACTCGCACCACAGTCCGCGAGTTCGTCAGCCCAGCCGATTGTGAAACGCCACCGTGCGAGGCGCCACCTTCGGCAACGACCGTTGACATGGGAGGCCGCCAGCGGACGCTGCGGGCGGGGCAGGTGGGCGCGGGGGCCGAGGCTGGGAGCGAAGGTCGGGGTGCCACCTTGGCACGGGGGACGTCCAAACGACGTCGGGCGGACGTGAGCTGCTTCCCTTCGTTAAGCGGCGTCGAAGCACGCATGGTCACGTATGGGCGGGGGAGACACATGAGAAGGTGGGAAGGAACGGAGAAAATGACCAGGAGGAGCTAATAGGGTGAGGAGGAAGAGGAGGAGGACAACGACGAGGAACACGATATCATGAGAAGGGAACGGCGGGAAGCAGATGCTCGCGGCGCCGGCTGTATGCCCTGACCGCTCCCCAAGCACACGCAACATATCAATATTGTGGGGGGAGAAAGGGGGGACAGGCCCGAGGCCTGGGGTTTTAGCGTTGTAGACGCGCCTCGCCCCCAAATGGGGGCAGTCGTTGGTCGTGGTCGTCGTCGTCGTCCCGGTCGGTCGGTCAATCGGTCAGGCGGTCGTCGTCGTTGTCGTGGCACCCTCATGGCTCCCTCAGGGCTCCGGATGTGTGTTCATGCGCTCTAACCTTTTTTTTCCCAACCATCCTGTGGTGTTGGGTCCTCGTTTTGAAGAGACGTCGCCCCGCGTTCCTTCCTCCTCCTCCTTCCTCCTCCTCCCCTTCCTCCCCCCTCCTCCCCCTCCCACACCCATTCTGGCACACCCCTCACATTCTGGCACCCACCCCTCACACGCACACGTTTCGTGGCCCCATAGGGAGCTCCACCGAAGGCCCCAGTGGCTGCGCCCGCATGCGGTTCCACCCCCCATTCTGGCACACCCCTCACACGTTTCGTGGCCCCATAGGGAGCTCCACCGAAGGCCCCAGTGGCTGCGCCCGCATGCGGTTCCACCCCCCATTCTGGCACACCCCTCACACGTTTCGTGGCCCCATAGGGAGCTCCACCGAAGGCCCCAGTGGCTGCGCCCGCATGCGGTTCCACCCCCCATTCTGGCACACCCCTCACACGTTTCGTGGCCCCATAGGGAGCTCCACCGAAGGCCCCAGTGGCTGCGCCCGCATGCGGTTCCACCCCCATTCTGGCACACCCCTCACACGTTTCGTGGCCCCATAGGGAGCTCCACCGAAGGCCCCAGTGGCTGCGCCCGCATGCGGTTCCACCCCACCATTCTGGCACACCCCTCGCACGACCAAAGGCCCCAGTGGCTGCGCCCGCATGCGGTTCCACCCCCCGTTCTGGCACACCCCTCACACGTTTCGTGGCCCCATAGGGAGCTCCACCGAAGGCCCCAGTGGCTGCGCCCGCATGCGGTTCCACCCCCCATTCTGGCACACCCCTCACACGTTTCGTGGCCCCATAGGGAGCTCCACCGAAGGCCCCAGTGGCTGCGCCCGCATGCGGTTCCACCCCCCATTCTGGCACACCCCTCACACGTTTCGTGGCCCCATAGGGAGCTCCACCGAAGGCCCCAGTGGCTGCGCC